ATTCGTCACCGATGTGTAGATGTAAGACCTGGTACTCCCATCTACACACTCGCATACACAGACTCGCTCACTCAGTCCTACACATACCATACACACAGTCACCGTACTCTAATACTGAGTCACAGACGCATACTGACAAGTCTCACACACACACAGACTGACACACCACCCTGACACTCACACAGTGATGACTCACCAAGACAAAGATCCCCCGTGTCGCCTTAACAGACTTTTGGGGCACATGCTGTTAGCAAGTAGCACCTGGGGGGGGGAGGTGGCCAGAACCACGCGCGACCGCCTTTGTCTCCCCAGTTAGCGATGTTTACACACTGCACCAGATACTCACTTAGGGCTGAGTCGACCTAGGGGCAGGCTCAGCGTAACTCACAAAGACACTCCAACACCACTACCCCGCCCGTTCGCCACCAAGCTTGTGCCAGGCCAGGTGCACATGAAGTGTCACAGGCTCGCTGCTGACAGGAGGAGGTCTCGGGACAGACCCAGGTGGTGCCATGGGTTGGCCGACTCAGATGACCGGGAGCTGCACCACCACCAGCTGTAACCCCCCCCCTTCCTTACTGTGCCAAAACACAAAGACACTACACTCACACACAGACACTCACACACAGACACTCACACACAGACACTCACACACAGACACTCACACACAGACACTCACACACAGACACTCACACAGACACCCACACCCCACCCCCCATCCCCCTCGGCCTCGGCGGGGTGACGGCGACGACGCCTCGGGAGCGAGACGAGACGCGAACACCGCCCCGTGAAGACGACACCACGAGGCAGCAGCAGCAGGAGGAGGAGGGGGGGGGCATTGACCACAACTTCCGTGGTTTAGCAACCAAACCTGTAAACCGCATAGCCCCCCCTCCCCCCGTTCGGCAAATTTTGTTTTAAGGATCTGTAAAACTTTTAAAAAGGGTGTTTTAAATCGTCGTCACCACCACCATTACCTGAGTGTTCTTTCAGACATCGACTGCGGGCAGTACCCTTGACTAATCGTCGTCAGAGAGGGAGGCCCCTTTAGCCGATAAGACATCATCAGCCTGATAGAAGCCGCCACACATTTCGAAACCATTTGATAGGTTTTGACAGCAGCGCGATGATGGATGATGATGATGTATGATGATGGGGGGTGGGGTGTTTTCACTCTTCGTGTAGTGTCAGGGGGCCGCACTAAAGGCCACCCACCAGGGGGGCTCGCCAGTGCCCCCCCCTCGCAATAAAGAACGCTGCACGATATCATCTCGTGTCCGCCTGTCCCCACGCGCTACACACGCCGTACAGATGGACACCGTAAGATTCCAAGCCGTGTCCTCACCCCCCCACCACACCCGCCTAACCCCAGCCATGGCACGGTAAAGGCAGACGAGTGGTGGTGAGTGGTGGTGGTGAGTAGTGGAGAGTGGTGAGTGGTGGTGGTAAGTGGTGGTGAGTGGTGGTGGTGAATGGTGGTGGTGAATGGTGGTGGAGAGTGTAGGTGGTGGTGAGTGTAGGTGGTGGTGAGTGGAGGTGGTGAGTGGAGGTGGTGAGTGGAGGTGGTGAGTGGAGGTGGTGAGTGGAGGTGGTGAGTGGAGGTGGTGAGTGGTGGTGGTGAGTGTTCACGCAGAAATACAAAGCTGTGCTGGGCCCTGGGAGATCACGAAGCCCTGAATCCACACTCCTCCAGCTGTGCTCCACTACTCTACACTGAGCTACACTACACTGAGCTCCACTACTCTACACTACTCTACACTGAGCTCCACTCCTCTACACTGAGCTCCACTACTCTACACTGAGCTCCACTACTCTACACTGAGCTACACTACTCTACACTACTCTACACTGTGCTCCACTACTCTACACTGAGCTACACTACACTGAGCTCCACTACTCTACACTGAGCTCCACTACTCTACACTACTCTACACTGTGCTCCACTACTCTACACTGAGCTACACTACACTGAGCTCCACTACTCTACACTACTCTACACTGAGCTACACTACTCTACACTGAGCTCCACTACTCTACACTGAGCTACACTACACTGAGCTCCACTACTCTACACTACTCTATACTGAGCTCCACTCCTCTAGACTCAGCTCCACTACTCTACACTGAGATCCACTACTCTACACTGAGATCCACTACTCTACACTGAGCTCCACTACTCTACACTGAGCTCCACTACTCTACACTGAGCTCCACTACTCTACACTGAGCTCCACTACACTGAGCTCCACTACTCTACACTACTCTATACTGAGCTCCACTCCTCTACACTGAGCTCCACTACTCTACACTGAGCTCCACTCCTCTACACTGAGCTCCACTACTCTACACTGAGCTCCACTACTCTACACTGAGCTCCACTACTCTACACTGAGCTCCACTACTCTACACTGAGCTCCACTACACTGAGCTACACTACTCTACACTGAGCTCCACTACTCTACACTGAGCTACACTACTCTACACTGAGCTCCACTGAGCTCCACTACTCTACACTGAGCTACACTACTCTACACTGAGCTCCACTACTCTACACTGAGCTCCACTACTCTACACTGAGCTACACTACTCTACACTGAGCTACACTACTCTACACTGAGCTCCACTACTCTACACTGAGCTCCACTACTCTACACTGAGCTCCACTACTCTACACTGAGCTCCACTACTCTACACTGAGCTCCACTACTCTACACTGAGCTACACTACTCTACACTGAGCTACATGACACTGCACAGAGCTCCGCTCCACGCGGCTGAGCTGCACTCTTCTAGACCGAGCTCCACTACTCTACATTTAGCTGCACTCACATCGGGCTGGGCCACACCCCAAGTAAGCCGAGATTCTCCACCACACGGTTACACTACTCTACACGGAGCTCCACCACACGGTTCCACTACTCTACACGGAGCTCCACCACACGGATCCACTACTCTACACGGAGCTCCACCACACGGTTCCACTACTCTACACGGAGCTCCACCACACGGTTCCACTACTCTACACGGAGCTCCACCACACGGTTCCACTACTCTACACGGAGCTCCACCACACGGTTCCACTACTCTACACGGGGCACCACCACACTAGCCTGCGGTTCCACTACTCTATACAGAGCTCCACCACATTAGGGTGAGCTCCATGACTCTACACGGAGCTCCACCACACTAGACTACGCTACACACGACTACTCGTCCCACACACTTCCACCACACAGCGGATTTACACTCCTCCAGCACGGAGCTACACAACGCACCCCACTACACCGCACACCAACACTCCCACCACACCGCACACCAACCACCAACACTGCCACCCCACCACACACCAACACTGCCACCCCACCACACCGCACACCAACACTGCCACCCCACCACACCGCACACCAACACTGCCACCCCACCACACCACACACCAACACTGCCACCTCACCACACACCAACACTGCCACCCCACCACACAGCACACCAACACTCCCACCACACCGCACACCAACACTGCCACCCCACCACACCGCACACCAACACTGCCACCCCACCACACCACACCGCACACCAACACTGCCACCCCACCACACCGCACACCAACACTGCCACTACACCCACCACACCGCACACCAACACTGCCACCACACCACACCACACACCAACACTGTCACCCCACCACACCGCACACCAACACTGCCACCCCACCACACACCAACACCAACACTGCCACCCCACCACACACCAACACTGCCACCACACCGCACACCAACACTGCCACCCCACCACACCACACCGCACACCAACACTGCCACCCCACCACACCGCACACCAACACTGCCACTACACCCACCACACCGCACACCAACACTGCCACCACACCACACCACACACCAACACTGCCACCCCACCACACCGCACACCAACACTGCCACTACACCCACCACACCACACACCAACACTGTCACCCCACCCCACCACACACCAACACTGCCACCCCACCACACCGCACACCAACACTGCCACCCCACCACACCACACACCAACACTGCCACCTCACCACACACCAACACTGCCACCCCACCACACAGCACACCAACACTCCCACCACACCGCACACCAACACTGCCACCCCACCACACCGCACACCAACACTGCCACCCCACCACACCACACCGCACACCAACACTGCCACCCCACCACACCGCACACCAACACTGCCACTACACCCACCACACCGCACACCAACACTGCCACCACACCACACACCAACACTGTCACCCCACCACACCGCACACCAACACTGCCACCCCACCACACACCAACACCAACACTGCCACCCCACCACACACCAACACTGCCACCACACCGCACACCAACACTGCCACCCCACCACACCACACCGCACACCAACACTGCCACCCCACCACACCGCACACCAACACTGCCACTACACCCACCACACCGCACACCAACACTGCCACCACACCACACCACACACCAACACTGCCACCCCACCACACCGCACACCAACACTGCCACTACACCCACCACACCACACACCAACACTGTCACCCCACCACACCGCACACCAACACTGCCACCCCACCACACACCAACACCAACACTGCCACCCCACCACACACCAACACTGCCACCACACCGCACACCAACACTGCCACCACACCGCACACCAACACTGCCACCCCACCACACCGCACACCAACACTACCACCCCACCACACCGCACACCAACACTGCCACCCCACCACACCGCACACCAACACTGCCACCCCACCACACCGCACACCAACACTACCACCCCACCACACCGCACACAAACACTGCCACCCACCACACACCAACACTGCCACCCCACCACACCGCACACCAACACTGCCACCCCACCACACCGCCGAGCCTCTTCCCCAACCGCATCCACCCCCAGCTCCTTCCTCCTCCGTCCGCGCAGCGGTCGCGAGTAGCGGAGGCACTCACGTCGGTCGCGGCGACGACGAGGGACGACGAGGTGAGGGACGACGACGAGGAGGGCGAGCCAGGTGGTGGCAGAAACGCGGCGTTCGCTTCCCCCCTCCCCAACGATAAGACGACGCCGCTGCCCGCTGCTCGCTCGACCGACAGTGCGAGCGACGTTTCGCGACTCTCTCTCTCCCGCGCGCGTCTTCTTTCTCAGAACTCCACCGCCGTCTGCTCCCGCCTCCTCCTCCGCCTCCTCCTCTTCGACGTCGTCACGGCGGTAGAAGGAGAGGAGGAATCGATTCTCGCCGCTGATTTCGCGCTCCCGATTCGATTCCTCGTGTTGACGGATTCAGCGTAGAGGGGGTAGCAGCACGCCGAGGCGAGAGGCTGCGCGGGTCGAGTGGCGCTGTAGGGGGGGCGAGTCGCGGGGATATTCACGTGGGGGGGGTGGGGGGTCGGGGGGTCTTACTCTCTCACAGGGAACCCGCTGCTACCCTATCCTAACTCACAGTCGCGGAAAATTCAAATACTCGATGGAGAGGGGGGGGGGGTCTACTCTCTCACAGGGGGCCTGCTGGCTTATCCCAACTCCCAGTGGAGGGAAATTCAAATACTCGATGGGGAGGGGGGGGGGGTCTACTCTCTCACAGGGAGCCTGCTGGCTTATCCCAACTCCCAGCGATATGAACAAAAAAAGATTGATTGAGCGACTATATATTTAAAGCTAAAAACATACAATGTGCTACAGAGAATCTACAATGTAACATGTTATGCGTGAGCAATATATTCGAAATTTGAAGCTTTCGTGACTGGAAGGATTCATATTCTTTGTTTTTTTCGGTAAAGTCACGTAGGTAAAATACATTTTTAAATAAAAGAAAACAACTAAATTAAATCACGACGTTTCGGAGGCAACACAAGCTTCCGTCTTCAGTCACAGCAAAATAGCTGCATCAAGTGATGCAGCTATCTTGCTGTGACTGTTCCACCTGAAGACAGAAGCTTGTGTTGCCTCCGAAACGTCGCGATTTAATTTAGTTACTTTCTTTTATTTTAAATTTGATTTTACCTACGTGACTTTACCGAAAAAAACAAAGAGTATAATGTATTCGAATTTTGATGCGAGTTTTTTTCTCCGTTTCATATTTGCTTCAATGTTGTGGGGTTTTTTATATTTTGTGACCCCGGTCACACTTGCAAATGAGCCGATATCTTGGTCTCTCGAGTTCTCACCACGTTAAACAAAATATACTTGACCTGGTATTGGTCAAACGTCCGAGTGCTGAAAGATTACCCTCAAACTTGATTTGGAGCTTTCGTGACTGCAGGAATTACTCTTGGTTCCTTTCGGTAAAGTAACGTAGAAAGAAAAATAGTTTAAATAATAGCACACGACGTTTCGATTGCAACACAAGCAATCATCATCAGGTACGAATGAATGAGAAAACAAACCTAGTAAACTTAGAAATATAATGCAATACAACACAGAGAGTCGGCCAACAAAACAGTCAACACCCTACCTGGTTGATTACCCTCAAATTATTAAATTTTGGATTGCGCATAACATCTCTCCCTACTGTGAAAACTTGGCAGGATCATCCTGAAAAACAAAGGCTTCAGACACTACTGCAAACTTATTGTAGGTTTTTCTCGTGATTTACAGGCCTCTCTGGCTAAACAAGCGAATTTACTCGGTGCCTGACCAATGTGTTGAATTTTAGTTGTCTGTGCTCACTGCTCATGCAGCATTTCACGAAGAGAACCTGGCTAGCTGATGCGATACTCAATCGTGTCTACAGTACTGATAACAATGTCAAATACATCGGGTAATTTCAGTTTAAAAAGCTGAAATTGGAAGAAGGCAGCGGCGAACATCGCCTAATCTCACTGTTCACGACAATATTCACGCTCCGCTCTGCAGTGCAACGTGTTGTTGTGTGGAATAGAACGATATCTGGATGATTTTGATAAATGCACCACGGCTGAGTGATTTATACACGTTTTGTGCGTTGTTTGAAACGTATGCTTTTCCAGCCTGTACTATTATTCTGCGATAATAAACACGTTTTCTCGTTATTTTCAGATTTTGATTCTTGTTGACAGTAACCAAGCCAATGGGCCCCCCTAGTGTGGAAGTTGGGACTTCGCCTTTCTGGTTCCCAGAAGCAGACCGTGCAGCAGTGACCATTGGTGACTAGATACTGGACAGACGAGGACAAAACCGGTCCACAGATGTCTCTTGCTGCATTACTGCTGCTGTCAGTCAGTCACATTTTGAGAGTGAACTCAGACAAGAAAGCCACAATGCACTTCTTCAGACTGCGCTGATGTGTTTTTTTTTAATACACAGTGCACACAGGATGAGTGCTCTTTACACGTATCTGCACGTTATTTGAATGTAATAATTTTTCGGCCTGAATTATTTTTCGCTGATGGGGTTTTTCTCGTCCTTTACAGATTTGAGCTAGTATAACACAAAAAACAGCAGCAAGTAGGGTGTCGTCTTAATGAAGACACGCGGACTCCACCGCCTGTCTCACCACGTCTTCTCGTCGTCGGGCTGCGCAGAGTCACAGCGCCACAGAACAACTCATCATCCTGATTTAAAGCTTTCGTGACTGCAGGGATTCATAGTCTTGGTTCTTTCGGTAAAGTCACCACGTAGAAGGGGAAAAACCGCCACTTTTTTCAAATTTTCTTTCTGTGGTTTTCACACCTGATGATGATTGCTTGTGTTGCAGTCGAAACGTCGTGAGAATTTTATTGTTTAATATTTTTATTATTTTATTGTTTCCCTTCTACGTGGTGACTTTATCGAAAGAAACAAGAATATAACTCATCATCCGTTCCTCTATTCATACCGCTCTTGTGGGCAACCCGGATAAGTGAAAATCGGCGACATTTGAATGTAATAGTCATCTCCATTGGCATTTATACAAAGCGACTAAATACAATAAATAACTGCTTTCACGTGAAGCCCACAATGCAGGCAAATGGCGTCTCAGGGAGACCCCCTTCTATTAGTCCGAGAGGACCCCGTATTGACAGCTTTTCCCAAAATGGAACCAACACAGTTGTATTTATGCAACAACAAAAAAGAGTGAACAAAAATAATGTATACATGCATGCATGCATTCATTGAACTGCATAGTAAAATCTGCACAAGGTATAATGGCTTAAAGCTTTCATGACTGCAGGAATTCATATTCTTGGGTCTTTCGGTAAAGTCACGTAGATAGGTTCAGAGAAAATAACTAAAAAACTTAGACGTTTCGATCGCAACGCAAGTAATCGTCATCAAGATAAAAAAATAGCGGGAAAGCTGCTGAGGCAGGATGTTTTAAAGGTTTGAAATGGGTGTAGCCCAAGGGTCATAAGCGAAGTTGGCAGGGCTAGTGATGTTAAAGTGAGAAATTTGCATGTCAATGTAAGATCGCAGAGCCACCGCCACATCGAGGAAAACGAGCAACGGTGGCTGTGTTAGTGAGACATTTAACCTGTTAATGTAAAGACATTTAACCTGTTAATGTAAAATCAGAGAGTCTAAAATAACTACTAACATCGGAAGGTAGGATGGAAACATCACAGCCAGTTATGACTTAAAACTAGCTAATAACGTCCTTCCAATGATTGATCAGTTTGTACCCATCTTCTCGGTTGAAATTGTCTGTGTCTATATATATGGATGGCTTCATGAACGAATCTTTGTTGATAGCCAGTGGGCTTGCAAAGTACCTTCGTCTTGGAGAAATCTATTTCGTGTGAGCCCACCGCATTAAAACAATGATCAGCCACGGCCGACGTATTGGTCCTACTGTGTTTCAGATCTGCCTCATGTTCACAAACACGGTCCGAGACATGTCGCTTAGTTTCCCCAATGTAACTACTGCTGCGGACACAGCTAAGTTTGTAGACGCCGGGGTATTGCATGTCAGGGGATCACATCCTTTACAGATGGGATCAGATCACGAATTTTATGTACTGTTAAATCAAACCTGGATTTTGTGTTTGCTCATGATTTGTGACCCCTGCTATGTCTTAGAAATCAGACGATGGTACTCTGCAAGCCTACTGGCTATCAACAAAGATTGATTAATGAAACCATCCATATATACAGGCACAGACACAATTTCAACCGAGAGGATGGTTATAAACACAGCAATCATTGGAAAGATGTCATCAACCACTTTGGGTCATGACTTGATTTGTGTTTCTTGTCAACCTCCACCGTCAGCAGTGTGGGTGTGTGGAGCGAGGTGCAATGATTGCCTGGTGGCCCTTTGATTGGTGTAGACCCACTGCCGGTATCGTTGTTTTCTCCAACATTGACATTAGCTGCCCCGCCCATGCTGCTGACACTGGGGCTGCATTAACATAAGCTGCCCCGCCCATGCTGCTGACACACTTGGGCTACATTAACATAAGCTGCCCCGCCCATGCTGCTGACACACTTGGGCTACATTAACATAAGCTGCCCCGCCCATGCTGCTGACACACTTGGGCTACATTAACATAAGCTGCCCCGCCCATGCTGCTGACACACTTGGGCTACGCCCATCTCTAAATCTTTATAAACAATTTGCCTTTAGAGGCTAACCCCCCTTTCCTGATGACGACCGCTTGTGTTGCGATCGAAACGTCGTGGTTTTTGTTTATTTTTTATTACTGAAAGAACCAAGAATAAGTCTACATTATAGACTGACAGTACGCTCACTCAGGTTAAGAACCAGGCTACAGTCTACATTATAGACTGCCAATACGCTCACCAGCTTAAAAAACAGGATACAGTCTACAATATAGACTGCCAGTACACTCACCGAGGTTCAGAACCAGGCTACAGTCTACATTATAGACTGCCAGTACGCTCACCAGCTTAAAAACCAGGCTACAGTCTACATTATAAACTGCCAGTACACTCACCAAACTTAACCAGGCTGCAGTCTACATTATAGACTGTCAGTACACTCATCAAACTTAATAACCAGGCTGCAGTCTACATTATAGACTGCCAGTACACTCACTCAGCTTAATAACCAGGCTACATCTTCTTTGGTTATTTCGGTACAGTCACGTAGATTGAGAATAAAATAAATTGATAAAATAAAATAACAATAATATTCTCACGACGTTTTGGCCACAACACAAGCGGCCTTCATCAGGTGAAGGGGACGAGACTGTCTGGAGGACAGCGCTGATGAAGGCCGCTTGTGTTGTGGCCGAAACGTCGTGAGAATATTATTGTTATTTTATTTTATCAATTTATTATTTTATTCTCAATCTACGTGACTTTACCGAAAGAACCAAAGAAGATGAATCCTTGCAGTCACGAAAGCTTTAAATCGAAATTTAACCAGGCTACAGTCTACATTATAGATTGCCAGTACACTCACTCAGCTTAATAACCAGGCTACAGTCTACATTATAGACTGTCAGTACACTCATCGAGGTTAATAACCAGGCTACAGTCTACATTATAGACTGCCAGTACACTCACCAAACTTAATAACCAGGCTACAGTCTACATTATAGACTGCCAGTACACTCACCAAACTTAATAACCAGGCTACAGTCTACATTATAGATTGCCAGTACACTCACCAAACTTAATAACCAGGCTACAGTCTACATTAGCGGTTTTTTATTTTTTATAAAATTTTATTCTATCTACGTGACTTTACCGAAAGAACCAAAGAATATTAACTCCTGCAGTCACAAAAAGTTTGAAGTAAAAATTGAAGTTCGCTACAGTGCAGCGTTCGCAAAGTTGGGGGTGGGTGGGGGAGTTGATTCGAGAATCGATTCCCGCCGCGCTCATCGATGTCCGCATCGATTACGTAATTCGGAGCCCCATCAAACACGCGCGCCATCAGGATTAAACAATGCGTTTGTACTCTGGGCCATTGCCCCAATCGTCTAGCCTATTGTATGGTTTCATTTTAAACGTGTTTTTTTAAATTAACGAATGCATTCATAAGAAAAATTATAGCCTACAAAATTGCTCAGCAGCCGGTGCAGTTTGTGTGCAGTGGGACATGCAAGGCATGCGAGCCAATCGGAGGGCACGTTGCTAAAGGCGGGCGGGAAGCAACAGCCAATGAGGGTCGGCGAGACTGAGGAGTGGGGGTTCGAGTGGTGCCACGCTCATCAGCACACCAGTAGTCTCCACACGCGGGCCTGCTACTGCAGCAGCAATCGATGTTATTCCATGGGCCAGAACATAATTTGGCCACACTACAATGTAGCAAAACTTTATTCGTACCGATTCTATTATAGCCAATAATAGTGAATTACTTGATAACCCATACGCTTGTGTATGACTACTGTTTTATTTAGACAACTAGCCTGTGAACGGATCGTCTAATTCCAGCGTTCTTCATCACAAGGGGTAACACTCTATCACAGTGATCTTCATCACAAGGGGTAACACTCTATCACAGTGTTCATCATCACAAGGGGTAACACTCTATCCCAGTGTTCTTCATCACAAGGTGTAACACTCTATCACAGTGTTCTTCATCACAAGGGGTAACACTATCACAGCGTTCTTCATCACAAGGGGTAACACTATCACAGCGTTCTTCATCCCAAGGGGTAACACTCTATCACAGTGTTCACCATCACAAGGGGTAACACTCTATCACAGCGTTCTTCATCACAAGGGGTAACACTCTATCACAGTGTTCATCATCACAAGGTGTAACACTCTATCATAGTGTTCATCATCACAAGGGGTAACACTATCACAGTGTTCTTCATCACAAGGTGTAACACTATCACAGTGTTCATCATCACAAGGGGTAACACTATCACAGTGTTCATCATCACAAGGGGTAACACTCTATCACAGTGTTCTTCATCACAAGGTGTAACACTCTATCACAGTGTTCTTCATCACAAGGGGTAAGTGTTATTCATCACAAGGGGTAACACTCTATCACAGTGATCTTCATCACAAGGGGTAACACTCTATCACAGTGTTCTTCATCACAAGGTGTAACACTCTATCACAGTGTTCTTCATCACAAGGGGTAACACTCTAACACAGTGATCTTCATCACAAGGGGTAACACTCTATCACAGTGTTCTTCATCACAAGGTGTAACACTCTATCACAGTGTTCTTCATCACAAGGTGTAACACTCTAACACAGTGATCTTCATCACAAGGGGTAACACTCTATCACAGTGTTCATCATCACAAGGGGTAACACTCTATCACAGTGTTCTTCATCACAAGGTGTAACACTCTATCACAGTGTTCTTCATCACAAGGTGTAACACTCTATCACAGTGTTCTTCATCACAAGGGGTAACACTCTATCACAGTGTACATCATCACAAGGTGTAACACTCTATCACAGTGTTCTTCATCACAAGGTGTAACACTATCACAGCGTTCTTCATCACAAGGGGTAACACTCTATCACAGTGTTCTTCATCACAAGGTGTAACACTCTATCACAGTGTTCTTCATCACAAGGGGTAACACTCTATCACAGTGTTCTTCATCACAAGGTGTAACACTCTATCACAGTGTTCTTCATCATAAGGGGTAACACTCTATCACAGTGTTCTTCATCACAAGGGGTAACACTCTATCACAGTGTTCATCATCACAAGGTGTAACACTCTATCACAGTGTTCTTCATCACAAGGTGTAACACTCTATCACAGTGTTCTTCATCACAAGGGGTAACACTCTATCACAGTGTTCTTCATCACAAGGGGTAACACTCTATCACAGTGATCTTCATCACAAGGTGTAACACTCTATCACAGTGTTCTTCATCACAAGGTGTAACACTCTATCACAGTGTTCTTCATCACAAGGGGTAGCACTCTATCACAGTGTTCTTCATCACAAGGGGTAACACTCTATCACAGTGATCTTCATCACAAGGGGTAACACTCTATCACAGTGTTCTTCATCACAAGGGGTAACACTCTATCACAGTGATCTTCATCACAAGGGGTAACACTCTATCACAGTGTTCTTCATCACAAGGGGTAACACTCTATCACAGTGGTCTTCATTGCAAGGCTCCGCGGGCCACTGGTGACCTTTAGTGCGGCCCCTGACGTTCGGCCCCCCAACACAGGACACAAAGAGTGACCCCCCCCATCATCGTCGTGCTGCTGTCAAACCCCACTGAATATTCGTGAAGAACACTGCCCCAATCCATTAGACAACTCACTGGCAATGAAGCGTAAAGCGAGATATGGAATACAGTAACATAAACAGAGCACATGCTTGGGACCCATTTTTGTTCACGAGCAAATGTTAATTTCTGAAATGTAACATCGAGAAATTGCAGCGTGAAAGCAGCAAAAAAAGTTGATTTTTAGATAATTTCACAAATGGTCGCCATTAGGTGACAATGATGGACAAACCATACATCACAGCAGATATATAATCTTATATATTATGGCATCAGACTGTGTCTCGGATGAAGAGAAGTTGCTTATCGCTATAAGGGACGATAGCCAATGGTGATGAATGATGCCAGTGGCAGCCAAAGGAATGATATCCACACAGATAACGGAGCTATGAAATGGCCTCGCGTGCAGGCGCGAGTTGGATTTATTACATTGGCTTGGGGAAGTCTTCATCCAGCACCGGATTGCCCACGGACAATGACGATGATTAACTGTTGGATACATTCCCAAGTACAATGGACATCCTGTCGCGAGGCGGGATGAGACCAATGGGTTGCGGTAATTTTCGATGCCCACGGCCGATAATAACGCGGACAGGTTAGCAGCAGCCACCGCCAATTGCTGTGCAGCGGCGCGAAGGGAGATGAACATTCATTGCTACGTCTCTGGTGGCAAACGGGATCCTCATGCCACTTATTTCACCCGCTCTGTAGCGTCCACTTTCCAGTCGAAGGATGATAATCCCCGGCTGTGTGTACGTAGTAGGTGGATTTCTTCTCTAACCTCCTCTGAATACCTTGTTTTAAAGACCAAGAGACCATCACACGAATGGCATTCATCAGCACCCCCCCCACCACCCCCGTATTTATTTTTTCCGTACACATCTTTCGACCGAAACTATTTTCTGAACGTTTGTAGGTTGGATGAATTGTACGAACTCGGAAGACAAAGAAAAAAACCCCAAACTGGAAGTCTACTAAATGCTGAAGAAGGAGTCTACTAGATTCTGAAGAAGGAAGTCTACGAGATTCTGGAAAAGAAAGTCTACTAGATTCTGGAGAAGAAAGTCTACTAGATTCTGGAGAAGAAAGTCTACTAGATTCTGGAGAAGGAAGTCTACTAGATTCTGGAGAAGAAAGTCTACTAGATTCTGGAGAAGAAAGTCTACTAGATTCTGGAGCAGAAAGTCTACTAGATTCTGAAGAAGGAAGTCTACTAGATTCTGGAGAAGAAAGTCTACTAGATTCTGGAGAAGGAAGTCTACTAGATTCTGGAGAAGGAAGTCTACGAGATTCTGGAGAAGAAAGTCTACTAGATTCTGGACAAGAAAGTCTACTATATTCTGGAGAAGAAAGTCTACTAGATTCTGGAGAAGAAAGTCTACTAGATTCTGGAGAAGAAAGTCTACTAGATTCTGGAGAAGAAAGTCTACTAGATTCTGGAGAAGAAAGTCTACTAGATTCTGTAGAAGAAAGTCTACTAGATTCTGGAGAAGAACGTCTACTAGATTCTGGAGAAGAAAGTCTACTAGATTCTGGAGAAGAAAGTCTACTAGATTCTGGAGAAGAAAGTCTACTAGATTCTGGAGAAGAAAGTCTTCTAGATTCTGGAGAAGAAAGTCTACTAGATTCTGGAGAAGAAAGTCTACTAGATTCTGGAGAAGAAAGTCTACTAGATTCTGGAGAAGGAAGTCTACTAGATTCTGGAGAAGAAAGTCTATTGATTCTGGAGAAGGAAGTCTACTAGAGTCTGGAGAAGAAAGTCTACTAGATTCTGGAGAAGAAAGTCTACTAGATTCTGGAGAAGGAAGTCTACTAGATTCTGGAGAATAAATTCTACTAGATTCTGGAGAAGAAAGTCTACTAGATTCTGGAGAAGTCTACTAGATTCTGGAGAAGAAAGTCTACTAGATTCTGGAGAAGAAAGTCTACTAGACTCTGGAGAAGAAAGTCTACTAGAGTCTGGAGAAGGAAGTCTACTAGATTCTGGAGAAGAAAGTCTACTAGATTCTGAAGAAGAAAGTCTACTAGATTCTGGAGAAGAAAGTCTACTAGATTCTGGAGAAGTCTACTAGATTCTGGAGAAGAAATTCTACTAGATTCTGGAGAAGAAAGTCTACTAGATTCTGGAGAAGAAAGTCTACTAGATTCTGGAGAAGAAAGTCTACTAGATTCTAGAGAAGACAGTCTACTAGATTCTGGAGAAGAAAGTCTACTAGATTCTGGAGAAGAAAGTCTACTAGATTCTGAAGAAGAAAGTCTACTAGATTCTGGAGAAGAAAGTCTACTAGATTCTGGAGAAGGAAGTCTACTAGATTCTGGAGAAGAAAGTCTACTAGATTCTGGAGAAGAACGTCTACTAGATTCTGAAGAAGAAAGTCTACTAGATTCTGGAGAAGAAAGTCTACTAGATTCTGGAGAAGAAAGTCTACTAGATTCTGGAGAAGAAAGTCTACTAGATTCTAGAGAAGACAGTCTACTAGATTCTGGAGAAGAAAGTCTAGTCCGTGGCATGAACTGGAGTGGTGGAGTCAGAAGCTTAATGACACCGCATTTTTGTAGATCAATGGCATTTCCTTCCATTCAACATTACTCCGTTTGTGTAATGTACGTCTTTCCTGAATCGCATCTACAACAACAATCCCCCACCGCTAAACTTCCTGACGCTCAATACAAAAGCCAATCGAACCATCATAAACGTTCCGTCAAATTTGTATTTCTAAAACGAGATTCAACGCGTTCTTATTTTTAACAGTGGTGTGATGGGAGTAACAACAAGAACAACCTCGTTATGCCAATACCGCATCTCTATGTTACCGCATCCCAAGATTCCAGGGGTAAACAAACACCCCCAAAAAGCAGGGCGTGAGAATCGCGCTATGCACGCCCCGGTTTACATAAGGCGACAAAAAGTGTCGCAAGGTTTGTAATGCCCAATAAAGATAAAGACGCCGACAAATGCAGTCCGTGACGCGTTTAGAGTTTACGTTGACGATGCAGATAGGACGAGACCACGACCCGATGACGAATATCAATAAAAAAAACCCACGGAACCCACGCCACGGGGGGTATAAAAGTTGTCATTATTATTAGAGACCGCTCGTTCCAGAGGGCAATTCACTTCGGCGTGCGAAGGCACGCGGCCGGGGCACACGCTTAGGGATGGCGAATGTTAAAATTAAAATAACCCTTGGGAGAGAGACGTGCAGGGATCGGTGCGACGCCCGGAA